GGCGGCGGCGGCTGCTGCTGCAGAGCGGCGGCGGCTGCTGCTGCTGGTAGAGCGGCGGCTGCTGCTGCAGGCTCTGGTGGCAGCTGCTGCTGCAGACTCTGGCGGCGGCTGCTGCTGCAGGCTCTGGCGGCGGCTGCTGCTGCAGGCCTGGCGGCGGCTGCTGCTGCAGGGCGGCGGCGGCTGCTGCTGCAGAGCGGCGGCGGCTGCTGCTGCTGGTAGAGCGGCGGCTGCTGCTGCAGGCTCTGGCGGCGGCTGCTGCTGCAGGCTCTGACGGCGCCCCGCGGGTCCCGCAGGGGGCGTCGCGACGAGCAGGGGCGACGCCCCGCGGGTCCCGCACGGGCGTCGCGACGAGCAGGGCCGACGCCCCGCGGGTCCCGCACGGGCGTCGCGACGAGCAGGGCGACGCTGCGCGGGTCCCGTACGGGCGTCGCGACGAGAAGGGGCAGCACCCAGGGGGCGCCGCGACGAGTAAGGGCGACGCCCCGCGGGTCCCGCACGGGCGTCGCGACGAGCAGCAGGGAGGGCAGCGCGCAGGCCCCCCCAAGGACGCTTCGACGGACGGGATAACCGCCGCGCGCCCCGAGCGCGCGGCGGGCAGAAGAAGCCGCCACGTGTTCGGAGCGCGTGGCGGGAAGAAAATGCAATGCCGCGCACCACGGGGCGCGCGGCGGATAGTACGACAGCGGAAGGAGTTGGTGGGCCCGATGAACTAGGCGGCAGGATCTCGCCGGCTCTAGATACCATGTTAGAATCCCAGCCACTAACCACTGGGATAAAAGGGCTTGTTTGTGTAGCGGGTGAGTGCGCCCATAACCCCCCAGACCAACGTGCCTGTAACCCTTCCCTAGGATCAATCGGGGATCACCAGTGGACCTCTGACACCCCCCCGCACTGGGATGCCCGAAGTGCACACACCGGGATTCGAACCCGAGACCTTTGCTCTGATACCATGTCAGAATAGTAGATGTGGGGCCTAGGCTTAGTAGCCTAGGCCCACACTAGGAGGTAGGTGGGTGCGCTCTAGAACTAGGAGTTAGGGTTTACGAAGGAGAATTGGAATGAAGAATGATGATGACTAGCAAGCAGCAGGACACACAAATAGCAAACCCTAAGGGGTTGTACTCACTATTGAGCACCCCACTGCAGGCTAGACAAATAACATTCTGACAAGGTTGAACAATTTGGCCCTGCTGTGAGCATTGCCGCTGCGCGCATTGCTGGTCGTGAGAGAGGCCAGCACTATGCGCCCAGCGGCGAGCATTCCACTGGGCGCATATCGCTGGCAGCGAGAGGCGCGCTATGCGCCCAGCGGCGAGCATTCCGCTGGGCGCATAGCGCTGGCAGCGAGAGGCGCGCTATGCGCCCAGCGCCGAGCATTCCGCTGGGCGCATAGCGCTGGCAGCGAGAGGCGCGCTATGCGCCTAGCGGCGAGCGTTCCGCTGGGCGCATAGCGCTAGCAGCGAGAGGCACGCAATGCGCTCAGCGTGCGAGCATTCCGCTGGCGCATAGCGGCGGGCAGAGGGTCCGGCGTGACGGACCAGCGGCCGGCACGCCGCTGAGCGCGAGAGCGGCGAGCGTGGCGCGACCACCGGTGGCCGCGAGGCGGAGATGGCATTCCGACTCTTGAATAATGTTAAGATTCGAGTAGGTTCAGCTATTCAGGGAGGAGAAATGGATATTGACGCACCTCTGATAAGGATCAGCCGTCACTCGAGCTTCCGTGGATTAGATGGCTGCTACTAGCACCAAAAAGTGTCGGTCCGAAATGCAGCCGGCCAGCTAGGTGGTCCACATTGTGTCATTTGACCCCCCAAAAGTGTCCAAAAAGAGTCTTCACCCAAAATTGAAGGGTCTAAAAATGTCCGAAAATTAGCCAAAACGCGAAGTATCCGGAATCTGTCCAAGAAGTCTCCGATTCATGTTACTATGCAGAAGGTCGGGGATCGATGCTTGCCTGGTGCACTATACCGAACACAAAATTGTTAGATTAGGAAAGAAAACGAACACTCCCAATTATAAGTTGCTTTTTACTAGCTAGAATCGATCTCGCGATCTCCCAATCGCACGCGCGATTCGTAACCACTACGCTAACTCGGTTGTAAACCAAGCAAGTTGGTTCAATTAAACTCAAAATCCAATCAAAAACTCCTTCGCAACATGTTGACACCTGTTGCCAGGGTTGCCACCTGTCACACCACCTGCCACACAAACGCCTTCCTGTGCAGGTTAGGCTCGGAAAACATTAGCCACAGCTACCTACACACCTTACCAAACTCATCCCCCAACCACTCTCGACTTGTCCATCCCTTTCAGGTCAAGATGCTCCATTTTTTAAACTGAGCTTTTCACTCGAGCATTTCTTGCCCAACATTTGTTCGCACGATCTGTTTTGGTTAGCCTAGCACTACGACTTTTGTAGAACCAATCTAGCTTTGCGGATGTTATACATTTAGGTTTATAAATCCAGTTTCTGCTTTTCTATGCAACAATGTCATGGTGTTCATCGCTTGCTGAGATGTGCGCGGTCCTACGTTTTTTATTCATTCATACAACCAGAATAACGCATTCCATGACGTCGTTTACTTATACCGCTCCTATTTCCAATATCTATCTATCCCCAGTGCAGCATTTGACGGTCTTCTTTTTACGTAACAAGTTATTCAACTTCGGGCGCTGCTAAGGAGCGCTACGGGCACTGCTAAGGAGCGCGATGGGCGCTGCTAAGGAGCGAGACTGACGCTGCTACGGCGGGTGCTGCTAAGAGACGAGATGGGTGCAACTTAAGTGCTCGACGGGCGCTGCTAATGCGGCTGCTGCTTAGAGGCGCGATGAAGAGCGGTAATTACATTGTTTAATTCAATATGAACCTGTGTGTTAACGGTTGCTAATCATCGCTTACCTTCTGATGTTTGTTTCAGTTGCATTTGGTGAAGATTTCCTTCATAGAGGGTGAATGTGTCATCACGCAGGTCGGTTTGTTTGATTCAATGTTGGCATTTTTTGTGGTTACCGACTTATACGTACATACAAGCTTCACGTTGATTTCGCGGTTTTGTTTGTTTCCTCCCCTTTGAAAGTGCTCGCAATCTGAAGGTTTTGTTTAATATTTCACAGCCGCCATTTAGTTCTCTATCACTAAGGTACGCGTCGGGCGCTGCTTTGTCAGGACGCTGCAAAGGGTCGTGACGGGTGCTGCTTACCCTGTTGCTGGTAAGAGGCCCCATCAAAGGTGGTGCTCAATTTGCTTAATGATTTGTTGATATAGCCAGTGTGTCTTGTACTTATTGGTTTTTCTTGTATTCAGAGATGTATTAATCACCGTGTAAATGGAGATGTTTGTTTCAATCGTTTCTGGTGACTATTTTCAACCTTGTTGGACAATGTGTCATCAGTCACCACGGTTTGTACGTTTTAGTATAAGCAATTTTGTAGTTATTATTTTTTGGAATGGACCTTGTGGCTCATTCAATATTGTTCTTCAATCCGTGCAGGTTATTTTTCTTTTAAGCATTAACTAATGGGGGTTCGTATATTTATCTGGCAATGCATTATTTAGTTTCTAGCAGTTTGTATAAGTAGAAATGCCTTTGCATGTTCTTTATTAAAAATCATGTAAACAATGGTTGGGTATAAATTTTATTGGTAAAACGCATCTTAGTATATCGGGTACGTGATGTACACATATTGCCTTCGCTTTTCGTATTGTCCAAATGGACTCTTCGCGGACTCTTTGGTCGGACCTAAAACAGACTCCGGAATGTAGCAGGCCTTGGTCCAAAAAGTCTCTTTTTCTGCACGTCCGGAATCCGTCCAGAAAGAGTCCGTTCGGACTCTTGGGGACAACTTTGGGACGCTGGAAAATGGAGATAGTAATACGTTAAGGACTGAGCATGGTGTGAAGGGTATGACGGGGAGTCTGGTGGGGAACTTGAGTTTGTGCAGGGTGGGTTGATCTAAGTGTGTGCGTGGTGTACTATACGCTCGGTTCTGGTTCGGTTGAGCGGTGTGTGTGGTTCAGCAGGACGTGGGTGGAACACCGTTCGCGCTTTGGTTTGGCGCGAGCGGGAAACCATCAAATTGGGGTCATGTCAGACCCGATTTCTATGAAGTTACCATTCGCGTGATGGGCTGCTAGTGTAGAGTTACCAAACGTGTTAAGCGAGTTACCAAACGCGTTAAAACAACATGTAACGGTCACCGTACGCGTTATAGTGCCCCATGTAAGTTACCATTGACATGATTTCCCTTTTTTTTTCCAGTATGATGTATACACCATATACACTGACTGCAGTAGTCTCCTTGATGAAAGCGCGATCCTGAAGTGGCCTAGTCAGTAGAAAGAGGCACTTCCGATAGATGAGGTCCTGGGATCGAACCCACCCCCGTGCAGGCGTGTTCTGACAGACCCCAAGTGGGGGTCGGCACGTGCTCATCTAGGAATGAACACCCCTGTAACTGGTTACGACCAGAAAAAATAACTTTAACCTTGATGAAAGCGCGAATACAAGATCAGCTTGCAGCTGATTGGCTGTCGCCTCATCTGGTGGCCCGCGGCAAGCTCAAGAAGAGACGAGAAGGGGAGAGATGAAAACGAGCGGCGCCACTGAAGCGACACACTGCCCACAGCCCACCCGCATGGGGCCCTCACCGCCTGGTTTCATTTGCTCGCGCCCTCCTCTCGTAGGCCTCCAAGCAGCTGAAGCTCGCCGCAGTTGGCTCACCAAGCTGAAGCTTTACGCCGGCGTTACCTCCGCTCTTCGCGCGCAATGCTGGTTTAGTAATTTCCGCAGCATGCGCTATTTATAACTCTCCGCGCACGCGCGCGGGACCCGTATTACTAGAACGCGTGGCGTGCACGCAGATCAATGGGAGCGCGTTCCGCGAGCTGGGGTACTTTTTTTGAGTCGACTCAAACTTCGACTCATTACGCGCGTGTTTCTACATAGAGATTAAGTTATTCATTTTTTCTTATTCTTTTTCGAGTCGAATAAGGACTCGCGATGGGTAGCACGTTCGGCGAATTGGGGTACGCGTGCGCGATCAACGTGGCGGTGCTGGCGGGCATGCTAGTGGTCTACACGATCCTCTCCAAGCAGCCGCTCAACGCGCGCGTCTACTTCACCAAATGGTTCTCAATCAACGACCGGGTGCGTGCCGCCTCGCGCGCCGTGCGCTGCGCGGAACTCACTCAACCTTACGCGATTCGAATTGCGGATTCCCCCCTCGAAGATTGGGTCCTGAAGGCAATTTGGAGAGAGTGTTGCTTCGGTTCAAGCCTCGCATGTCGCCTCCGCGTCCGCGCTGCCTGCATTGCCCGCGGCCGCCGCTTCCCTAGTGCATGCATTGCGACGTGCACGCGCCATGCGGAGGCGCGGCGCGGTGGAGCGCACGGGAATCAGCGCGTCGATGACTCCTCAGTGCACCGCCATCGCCCGTTCCCCCCACCCATCTCACCACGGCCTTCGCTCTTCGCTTAACTCCTTCCCCTCCTTGCCCCTCCTTGCCCCTCCCCGCCCCTCCCTGCCCCTCCCCGCCGCTCCCCGCCCCTCCCCAACCCTCCTCGCCTCTCCCCGCCACCCCTCGGCCATTCCCCGCACCTCCCTGCCCTCCCCCGCCCCTCCCCGCCCCTCCCTGCCCCTCCCTGCCCCTCCCTGGCCCTCCCTGCCCCTCCCGCCCCTCCCTGTCCCTCCCTACCCCTCCCTGCCCCTCCCTGCCCCTCCTTGCCCATCCCTGCCCCTCCCTGCCTCTCCTCGCCCCTCCATGCCCCTCCCTGCCCCTCCCTGCCCCTCCCTGCCCCTCCCTGCCCCTCCTCGCCCCTCCATGCCCCTCCCTGCCCCTCCCTGCCCCTCCCGCCCCTCCCTATCCCTCCCTACCCCTCCCTGCCCCTCCTCGCCCCTCCATGCCCCTCCCGCCTCTCCCTGCCCCTCCCGCCCTTCCCTATCCTTCCCTACCCCTGCCTGCCCCTCCCTGTCCCTCCCTACCCTCCCTGCCCATCCTTGTCCCTCCCTGCCCCTCCCTGCCCCTCCTTGCCCCTCCCTGCCCCTCCCTGCCCCTCCCTGCCCCTCCCTGCCCCTCCCTGCCCCTCCTCGCCCCATCCCTTCCTTCTGTGGGTTGTGCTGGCAGGAGGCGGCAGAGAAGTACGAGAAGGTGAAGATGAAGGGCAACGTGATTAAGCACCACCATCCCTCTCATTCCATTCATCATTCCCTTCCCCGCTCCCTCCCTCCCCCCCCCTCATCCCTTCACGCTATGGGCTCTCTACAGGAGGCAGCGGAGAAGTACGAGAAGGTGAAGATGAAGGGCAACGTGATTAAGCACCGCCATCCCTCTCATTCCATTCATCATTCCCTTCCCCGCTCCCTCCCTCTCCCCCCCCTCATCCCTTCACGCTATGGGCTCTCTACAGGAGGCAGCGGAGAAGTACGAGAAGGTGAAGATGAAGGGCAACGTGATTAAGCACCGCCATCCCTCTCATTCCATTCATCATTCCGTTCCCCGCTCCCTCCCTCTCCCCCCCTCATCCCTTCACGCTATGGGCTCTCTCTACAGGAGGCAGCGGAGAAGTACGAGAAGGTGAAGATGAAGGGCAACGTGATTAAGCACCGCCATCCCTCTCATTCCATTCATCATTCCCTTCCCCGCTCCCTCCCTCCCCCCCCCTCATCCCTTCACGCTATGGCCTCTCTCTACAGGAGGCAGCGGAGAAGTACGAGAAGGTGAAGATGAAGGGCAACGTGGTGAAGCGCCGCCAGTGGTTCAACCTCTCGCTGCGCTCCTACCGCCACGCCTTCTCCTGGGTCGCCGTCGCCCTCGCCATGCCCCAGCGCGAGCTCATCGCCCATGCTGGGCTCGACAACGTGGTGTTCCTGCACACGCTCAAGCTGGGGTGCGTGTGGGTGGCACACGCTCAAGCTGGGGTGCGTGTGGGTGGCACACGCTCAAGCTGGGGTGCGTGTGGGTGGCACACGCTCAAGCTGGGGTGCGTGTGGGTGGCACACGCTCAAGCTGGGGTGCATGTGGGTGGCACACGCTCCAGCTGGGGTGCGTGTGGGTGGCACACGCTCCAGCTGGGGTGCGTGTGGGTGGCACACGCTCAAGCTGGGGTGCGTGTGGGTGGCACACGCTCAAGCTGGGGTGCGTGTGGGTGGCACACGCTCAAGCTGGGGTGCGTGTGGGTGGCACACGCTCCAGCTGGGGTGCGTGTGGGTGGCACACGCTCAAGCTGGGGTGCGTGTGGGTGGCACACGCTCAAGCTGGGGTGCGTGTGGGTGGCACACGCTCAAGCTGGGGTGCGTGTGGGTGGCACACGCTCAAGCTGGGGTGCGTGTGGGTGGCACACGTTCAAGCTGGGGTGCGTGTGGGTGGCACACGTCCAAGCTGGGGTGCGTGTGGATGGCACACGCCCAAGCTGGGGTGCGTATGGGTGGCACACGCCCAAGCTGGGGTGCGTGTGGGTGGCACACGCCCAAGCTGGGGTGCGTGTGGGTGGCACACGCCCAAGCTGGGGTGCGTGTGGGTGGCACACGCCCAAGCTGGGGTGCGTGTGGGTGGCACACGCCCAAGCTGGGGTGCGTGTGGGTGGCACACGCTCAGGCTGGGGTGCGTGTGGATGGCACACGCTCAAGCTGGGGTGCGTGTGGGTGGCACACGCTCAGGCTGGGGTGCGTGTGGGTGGCACACGCTCAAGCTGGGATGCGTGTGGGTGGCACACGCTCAAGCTGGGGTGCGTGTGGGTGGCACACGCTCAAGCTGGGGTGCGTGTGGGTGGCACACGCTCAGGCTGGGGTGCGTGTGGGTGGCACACGCTCAAGCTGGGGTGCGTGTGGGTGGCACACGCTCAAGCTGGGGTGCTCATAGCGCTGCTGCTCATTGGGGCGCCCCAATAGTCATGGCGCTCCTGTCATCAATCCGCAAATCCCCCTCCTCTCTCGCACTCTCTTCCCCGCTCTCCCCCCTCCCCCCTCTCCCCCCACTCCCTCTCCCCCCACCCCTCCCCCCCACTCCCTCTCCCCCAACTCCCCTTCCTCCTGCGCCCTCACTCTCACCCGGCAGGTTCAAGATCTTTGGGCCGATACTGATAGTGGCGGCGGCCGTGCTGCTGCCCGTGAACTACCTGGGAGGGGGCTTGCAGCAGCAGGCGCAGAGCGACCCTGACCTCACCTACAGCGACATTGACATGCTCTCCATCGCCAACATCCCCAACCGCTCCTCCCTGTGCGTGCTCCTCCCTGTGCGTGCTCCTCCCTGTGCGTGCTCCTCCCTGCCCCCTGTAGCGCATGCATGCATGCAAGTATCTCCAATGCCCTAAGCATGCACGCCACGGCAGCAGCATGTGCATGGCAGCATGTGCATGGCAGCATGTGCATGGCATGGCAGCATGTGCATGGCAGCATGTGCATTGCATGGCAGCATGTGCATGGCAGCATGTGCATGGCAGCATGTGCATGGCAGCATGTGCATGGCAGCATGTGCATGGCAGCATGTGCATGTCAGCATGTGTCAGATTGGTACTTCATGAGGCCAATCGTGGCTTGCAGTCTCCCGTTGTGTGCAGTGTATGTGTTGTGGTGTGCTGAGGGCATGTTGTGGTGTGCTGAGGGCATGTTGTGGTGTGGTGAGGGTTGAGCACGGGCCGGGCCGGGCTGGGCCCGGGTCGGGCCAGGCCGGGCCAGGCAAAAATCCGGTCCGGGCCAGGCCCGGCCCGATCCGGGCCGAATGACCAAGACCCTGGCCCGAGCCCGCCCATTTAGTACTCGAGCCAGGGTGGCCCGACCCGGGCCAAGCAAGGCCCGACCCGGGCCGGGCCCGGCCCGGCCCGGGTGCACTTTCGATAGCGTCACACATGATTTTCGAAAACGGAATGCCTTCAATCTTAACCTAATCTAAGCTAAAACGCACTACCTCGTCACCCTTTCTTATAACCGTTACTTTAAAACGGTTACCTAACACTAACTACTGAGAGATAGAGTATAAGTTAGGAAAACGGGCTAGGTGAGATCTAAGGACGCGTCAACTCCTGCAAAATCCAGCGATCGATCCTGCGCAGGATCGATTTTTTACTGGGTTAGAAGAGGTTCTTAAACACTATGGATGCAATTGCGGGATTTCAGTGCGGTTGACGATCGATATTGCAGGATCGATCGCTGTTTTCTGCAGGAGTTGACGCGTCCTAAATACATGGCGAGAAGCTAGGGTTGCGTTAGAGCTTGCGCAAACTGTCGCGCAGCTCAAATTTGACCCCCGCGACATTTGCTGGGGGGTTCAAATCCCCGCGTGATTGAGATTTGACGAAATTGACTCAAATCTCAAATTATGCCAACAAAACACAACAGAAACCGGATTTCACCGCACTGAATCTAGAATTTCCAACCAAACCATCAATTTCCAACCCAGGTCAACTGGATCTGGCCGCATTTCTTGGCCTGAGATCTAGTCGACAGCATATCAACTCATAGGGTTTACTCGACCAGCACGTTATTAGCTTATAAGTAGAGTTCACTAAGCGCAGGGGAAATAGGCGAGCCAGAACAGCCCGACCCGGGCCGCGCTTCGACCCGGGCTGGCCCGGCCCGGCCCGAAAATGTCGGGCCAATGTCGGGCTACTTACGGCCCGGCGGGCCGGGCCGGGCCGGCCCGCCACGGGCCGAAACCCAAAATCTGAGGCCCGGCCCGTGGCAATTCCGGGCTGGCCCGACGCGGGCCGGGCCCAGCCCGGATTTATGCTCATCCCTAGGTGAGGGCATGTTGTGGTGAGGGCATGTTGTGGTGTGGTGAGGGCATGTTGTGGTGAGGGCATGTTGTGGTGAGGGCATGCTTGCCTGCATGTCATGGCTCACAGTTCTCCATTCCCCATGCACTGCACCACCCCATCCCGCCCCACCACACCACACCTCACCATGGCATGCCATGCCATGCCACACCAAACCACACCACACCACACCACACCACACCACACCACACCACACCACGCCACACCACACCGCGCCATGCCACACATGGC